ATCTGTCCTGACCGTTTTACTTTGTTCATTTTGTTAGGGCCCCCTCCCCCGCGTCTGTACTGACCGTTTTCCTTTCTTCCCTCTACCAGGCCCGGCCTCCTCCCTGTTCCAGAAGCAGTACTACGAGCTGATGAAGAAGGCGTTGAAGCCTGGAGGTCTAGTCTGTAGTCAAGGTGGGTAGTGATGGTCATTCCGTATGCTCGAGGGCTTTGTTGTCAAGGGTTTTTTTTTAGTTTGTTGTTTTTTGGAGGTTTTGCATTGTGTTTTGTTCTTTGGTTGGGTAGTTGATTTGTTTGTTTTTTGTTTATGCTTTTGAAAATATTTTTTAAAAAGAGGGTACCTGCATTTGAGAGGTTTTGCATTGTGCTGTTGTTTTGGGTTGTTTTTGGTTGTTGTTTTTTTTTTTTGGTTGTTGTTGTTGTTTTTTCTTGATCTGCGCATCTTTCTCTCTGGTGCTCGCCAGCCAAAAAGCAGGGACTGGAACTGAACTACATTTAACTGCCAGTCAAACACCTTACTACTTACAGCTAGGTCTAGACATCCCATGTTTTATCCCAGTGTTTTAGTTGCACACAACTCTCTGTTATGCGTCCCCTCTTTGGGCAAAGTATTCCTTTATTAAGCCTCTTTCAGTTGTAAATTCTTAACCTGATTTCATGGTAGATGGGTTTTGGTTTTGTTGGGGGGTTTTAATCGGTAATTCCAGAAGTGCGCAAAAATTGAGTTGTTATATTTAAATGAAAGAAAATACAGAAAGCCAGATGTATAAAGAAGTTATTGTTATCAATCCAGGCCAATAATTGAGAAACGCCTGATTCCATTGACTGGTGTTATATTTGTTTATGTGTTATTTCCCCTTACAGGAGAGTGTATGTGGGTCCATCTAGAGCTGATAAAAGGCATGTTGGAATTCTGCGAGACCCTGTACCCGTCCGTGTCATACGCCTACACAGCCATACCCACGTATCCGTGCGGGCAGATCGGATTTGTTATATGTAGTGTGGACACTGTAAGTATGTGTGCTTGTGAGTGGGCTGGTGGTTGGAGGGTGCTCTTGTGTGGTTTGCTCTTTCTTCTGCTCTGAACATCTATCCTCTTTATTTTTCCCTTTTTTTTTTCTTTTGTATGCTACTCTCTTGAATGCTGGTGGTTGGTGGGTGATCTGATATGGTTTGCTTCTTCTTTCTTATCAAGTGTCTATCATCCTGATCTTTTCTCCTTTTTTTGTTTGTTTTTTTGTTTGTTACTATCTTTCAACTCCTCAAATGTTACTCAGACCATGAGTACTAATGTTCTATCTCTGCTCTATCAAAATGGTAAGATTATTTGGAGTCGTTATCAAGATATTCCCATTATTGCATTTGAAAAAGTTTGACATGATGTGAAGATTTTTTGCCGTGAAATCTGCAAGAATGCTCATTCCTTTTGTTCATTTCTCCTCCTGCCAGGACATGGACTTTGAGAACCCCGTGCGTGCGCTGACCAGCGACCAGGTGACGGAGTTCAACCTGAGGTACTACAACTCTGACATCCACAAGTCGGCCTTCAAACTGCCGCAGTTTGCCCACAAGGTACGCGGGACCAGCCTGTTGTCATGTGTGGCTCACGTCACGGAGCAAAACTTCGAACATTTGTTTATTTTAGTAAGGTTTTACGGCGCTCGCAAATGCATAAGGTCATATGAACGCCAAGGGGTGGATGTCAACAGAGAAGTCCAAATGGGGAATCAGACTTACTCTGCTCACCTCTCTAGCCTCAACAGCGCAAAGTCTGCTTTGACTATCAAGGCACCCCGGAAATAGCAGTTCACAAGAGAGTGACAAACATACAAAAGAGGTAGAGGAATGACGACAGTAAGGATGAGAAAAGAAAAAGCAGCAGTTTTGAAATATTTTTTAAAAGTTGTTTTAATATTTTTTGAGTGTTTTATCATGGCATAAGATGTTTGTTTAGTTTTATTGTAGCGGTAAAAGAATAACAATGAAAACATCTCTCATATCCGTTGTTTGTTTTAATTGTTTTAAGACTTGTATATTTTGTGGGTGGTTGCTGGGTGCTCTGGTGTGGTTGGCTCCTTCTTTCCTGTCAAACAAGTAATGTCTTTGTCTCCCCTTCTTCTTTTTTGTGTTTGTTACTCTCTTGTAACACCTAATCTTCAGCATTTATGTGACCTAGATCTAATTGTGTTGCAAGTGCCGTAAAACCCTTACTAAAACACATAAAACATGTGTAAATATAATTTCAAATGTTCGGTATTTGTTCCCCTCCTTGCAGGCGTTACGAGAAGGAATTTCCAGTAAGTAAAAGACTCTTGTGTGCTATCCCGGACCAACTTCTTAGGCCATGTAGATCATCGTTGTCGTGTGTGCACAGAGCGTCGCAGAGAGTCACGGAGCATCGCAGAGAGTCACGGAGCGTCTATTTGTGTCTGCGGGGAAACTGGAGACGGACCTGTGGCCTTGTCGATGTTGTCGTGGGAACGCGTTTTGTTTTTTTATGTCTGTTTTTTTTTTTTTTGAAATGATTTTAATGCAGATATGTAGGAAAGTGTTTTCTGTGAAAATGCTTCTGCCCTCTTTTTTTTTTACTCTGGGGATATTGCAGGTGTCACAGGGAAGGAACGCTGTGGAGGGGGAGGGATATCTGTACGCAGAATATTGGCAACCTCATGGGTTTTTCTACAAGTCACTTTGCTTGCGCATTTGGAAAATGTTTATTTCTTTGAGGCATTTATGTAACGTCACAGACCTGCTAAGTGACCCCATAACACCCCCCTCCTTCCCCCCCCCCCCCCCCCCAAGAAAAAAGAAAAAGAAATAAGATTTTTCCTTGTATTTTTGTTTGTTGAAGGACCCCTAATAGATTGGAAAATGTTGAGTTTTGAGTTGTTTCATTGTTTTCCTGTCATCAAGGGGTTGGCAAAGAATCGTTCCTGGTGGGCGTCTGAGCCAAGCTGTGTCAGAACGGCCAGTAAGTCTCTCTTCTCCTGCTCCCTCCTAAGCAGCACTCTCATTGTCATAAAGGTACTGGAGTGCACAAAGATATCGTCATCATTACCATTGTTTCATGTGCTAGGTTAATTATTGAAGGTGACATTTGTGAGAAACATCCCACTTTGTGACTCAGCGATCACATTGTCAAGCTATCAATAACAAAGATGGTTGATGTTTGCGTCTGTTGCATCAAGGTGCTGTTTGGGAGCATAGTTTCTGGGGGGTTTTTGGGGGGTTGTTTCTTTGGGTTGTATGTGTCTAAAAGCTTTTGTTGTCTTGTCATGGTTCTGTAGGGGCTGAGAGCACTGAGGTTCTGTAGGGGCTGAGAGCTCTGAGGTTCTGTTGGGGCTGAGAGCACTGAGGTTCTGCAGGGGCTGAGAGCTCTGAGGTTCTGTAGGGGCTGTGAGCTCTGAGGTTCTGTAGGGGCTGAGAGCTCTGAGGTTCTGTAGGGGCTGAGAGCTCTGAGGTTCTGTAGGGGCTGAGAGCTCTGAGGTTCTATAGGGGCTGAGAGCACTGAGGTTCTGTAGGGGCTGAGAGCTCTGAAGTTCTGTAGGGGCTGAGAGCTCTGAGGTTCTGTAGGGGCTGAGAGCTCTGAGGTTCTGTAAGTAAGAGCTGAGAGCACTGAGGTTCTGTAAGTAAGAGCTGAGAGCACTGAGGTTCTGTAGGGGCTGAGAGCACTGAGGTTCTCTCCTCACGATATTGGCAGGGACAAAACGAAATAACGAGAGAGACTCGAGATTCAAGGGCCTCTTTTAATTTAAACTTATTTGTCTCTCGTGTGCCATTGACTGTTTCTTTTTTTTTTTTTTTTTCTTTTTTCAATTTCCAATATAAAATGAATTTCTTTTAAGGGCATCAGCTTTAATTTGATGCACAAGTTTTGATGGTATCTTATTAAATACTTGTATCAGTTATTTATTATTTTTTAACAGGACATATTATGGGTGGTATCAGGCACCGGTCAAATCTGGGATTATCATTCAAAAGTTACTGAGGCCTGTAGTACTGGAGCGTATTGTTTTACGTTATTTGTGGAGATAATTACAGTTCCCCCCCCCCCCCCCCCACACACACACACACACACAGGGAATGAATGTAACAGAGGAACTCTCAAATACCGGCCAATGATACGTACCAGTAAAGAGACAAAAATCAAACAAATTTTTCTTCTTCTGTTTCCTGCACTGGTGTATACCAAACTTTTCTCTAGAGTCCGCTTTGCGACCTGAGCTACCACTACGTTGAGTTTCACTTTACATACCCTGTATTAGAGAACTGTTTGCAAGAAAGTATGTGAGCCACTCTTACACGTGGGTACCTACATTTGATGTTGACGTTCAGTGGGATCAAGTGAAATATGGAGTCAACGAAAAACGTCCAGGCAAATTCATTCTACGTAGGTTCTGCTCACTGACAGGTGCACAGACATTTCCAAACAGCTCTGTATTTCCTCACAGAAACGTCCCACGTGCTCATAACTCATGTGACTTTATGCAGTTCTGAGTTCTGGGGGCCGTGCTAAAACTTTGACCGGACTGAAACAGATTTGGGACGACTGACACAGCGGAGCGCTGGTCTCATTTCCGTCCGGTCGTCGTGGTTTTGTTCGTGCAGGCGTTGTCAAAGACTTGCCGAGATGACGTTAGGTACAAATCCCTATCCTCATCTCCGTAAAAAAAATTTCTCTTTATGTAAAATGTTGTTTCTGTAATGTTGAACAACTACGCTTATCGTTTATGACAGGAAATTGAATGTTTTTGCATCCAGTGGATAACCATATCCAGCCGTACAACATTTGAGCATTTTCTCCATTTGCTGTTTTGTTTTCAAACAGTTTGATCGAGTGATTGCTCATCTGTTCAGGACAGGGGTTGTTTTTTTCTTCCTTTTGTAAGAGGCCCAAAGAGATGTGCAGCCAATTATCCCCACGTTATTTTCCTTGTGGATCAGGAAAGAGGGCACTAATGAACCTTCCGTCTCATGAAATTAGGTCACGTAAGGACCTATCATTTTTGACATGTCATCTTTGTGTTGGATTGTCATCTTCTGTTGTAGTAATAAAACGGAAAACATGTTTAGCAGGAAACGGTTTCATGTTTTGGCTTTTTTTTTTACAATGTATTTTTGATATCACAGATTGTCATAAATGTTTGTGCAAACGTGCATCATGTATGTACTGAAATGTGACTCTCATGTCTCAAATCTGGATAAGTCTGTGACTTGTGTCTACATAAGCTTGGAGGTCTGTACATGGAGATTTTTGTATTTTGTTTTTTTAACTTTGGGTACCCGGTACCATTGATGCCGGGTACCGGGGGCCAAAGGGGGGGGGGGGGGGGGGGGGTTGGGGGAGCACGTGGGAAAGGAACTAAAACTAAAAGAGAAAGAAGTGTTTAATAAGGGAGATAAATCTTCACAATTACAAGGCCGAAGATTATTTAATGGCGATTTATTTCCCTTGATCACCCTGGCCTGATAACACATGTACTGACCGCACGGACCCGGTGTGGGCTGGGGAATCTAGTTTTAGTTGAATTTGATGTATTTTTACGCCCCCATCGATACAATTTAGATCCTACATGTGGCGGGCTCCCGACCCTTCCTGTCAGGAGCTGCCAGGGCTGAGAGTTGAATGATACATGTACTGTACACGACAACCTAGCATCTGCGTCTGTTGCCATTTGTTGGTCTAAAAGACTAAAAGTTGCCATTTGTTGGTCTAAAAGACTAAAAGTTGCCACAAAAATGGCAAAAGTTGCCGTTAATTTTCAAGCCTTCAACTAGCTGTGATGACGTAATGCATTGTATATTGATAGAGATGACTTAATCTAACGCGTCAGAATTTCTTGTGCTCTGTTTTAAGCATCCAGAATATTTTTTGTAGCCTCACAGAGTGTAAAAATGTGAAGAAGGAAAGTTTCACGACAGAAGGAAATTAAAATTAGAGCAGTACGTAAACAACGGCAAAAAGGAACAAATGAGGGCGCGTGTCCACCTGTCCGAGGATTGGCCGTTTGTACCCTAAACGTGTTTTATTCAAGAAAAAGTACAGGATATTACGTGTAAATTGTGGAATCACACACAAGGGGCCTGCCAGTGTCAGTATTCGGTTTTGGTGGAGACACGCTCTAACATAACACATTTGTATATTTTTTTTAATGTAGGAACTTCAAACTAAATGACATTACGCTATACAAATACACACACACACACAAATAGATCAGAAAAGTAACACACCAACACAGAGGGAAAAAGAAAAGACAAACAGCAATATATGATCAATAGTCTGTAATGTACTTATTACTCTTCGCGTGAAAAGAACTCTACATGGACGCCTTAAAACTATCAAAATATACGTCTGTGAACTGTTATGAAGTAGCCTTTTTTTTTCTTTTTTTTTTGTTGAAAAGTGCAAAAATCACGGCTGCGATTCGCAGACCAAAAAATGCCAAAAATCGCGTCCGCGACAAACGCAGATGCTAGTACAACACCACAGCAGAAAACAACCACCCATTGTCCAGGGGGGAAACGTCGCTGCTTTAGACAGGTGGCCGTATTATCGTCATCATCATCATCATCATCATCATCATCATCCGGTGCCTTGCCGACTGGCGTGGGCGATCATGGACCTCCACTTCACTCTGTCTTACGTTACAGCGATGGTGTCTGTTGTTCTTGTTGCTCCCAGCCATGTTGTCATCTTGTCCAGTATCTTTTCCCTCTCTCTCTGCCTCTGCCTCTCTTTCCATCAAACTTGCCTGTTGTTACAATATTATTCTCCAATATTTCTTTCCGCTTAGTGTGTCCAACGAAATTTGCCTGTCGCTTTCGTATATTCGTCATAAGCTGTCGTCTGCAATTTGCTTCAACCAAGACCTCTGCATCTAATTTTGTTTTTCTATCTGTCCATGGGATACGCAGCATGCGTCTAATGAACCACAACTCTGTCAGAACAAATGTAATTGCAATCCGCGGTAACCGGGATAACCGGATACGTGGCTAGGTAGTAAACATAGCTAGGTCTGTGGTAGTATGATCTCGGCACAGCTCAGAACAAGTCAGCCTGGCGTCTGTTACAGTCAAGGACCTTTTTTTATAACTATTTTAGCCTGAGGCCTTATCTTTAAAACTTTTGTCCTTGGCTTTTGTCTTGATCTTACGTCATTTCACGGCTGTGGTATTTTCTTCTTCTTCAACACTACGACAGAGTTCGGAACACTGCGCCGTGGCGTTATTGTCAGCGTGTATTTTGTGTGGCCCCTGAAGGGGGGTTATTCTTTTGTCGTTACGTTTGTAAGGTCCTTGGTGTGGCCTCTGTAGTAGTGGTAGTGGTGGCAGTAGTAGTAGTAGTGAAGTAGTAGTAGTAGTAGTACATGTAGTAGTAGCAGCAGTCACTGTAGACGCCGTACACGTCTGCCACGCGCCTTCCCCCATCAGTCCGGAGCTGGCAGTTGACAATGACACTTTTACGGCAAGCCTCTCGGTGCAAAAGACCGAATTGGAAGGAAATTTGGGGGATGGGTTACTCGGTTTGAAAGGAGAGTTTCCTGGAGACAGCATTTAAATCTTAGTGCCTTGTATTTTTTTGGTGAAAATGGTGAAATGGTATAGGTTTAACTTAACCGTCCACTGTCAAAACTATTAGTGTTGGGTTATTTAAGAGGCGGGACTTCCGAGTTTAACGTCCATCTCCAAGAGGACCGAGTCAAGTGGGAAATTTGTGTAATGTGTCTTTCTCAAGGACACAACGTCGGACCGGGCTGAGTGTTTTTGTGAAGCGCGTCAAGTTAAGCCACCAGAGACTGGTCCCAGCAGTAGTGCTATTGACTGGAGTGTCTTTAGGCCGTTCCCAAAGGGGGGATATTATTAATAATAACATGTTCGTATGCACAGTAGAATTGTCAATGGGCTGATTTATCAATGTCGTGCTCATACTGTGCCGGAACAACAAAGGGGGAACTGCAGCTTGTTCTTTCCTCGTCCTGACTGTCGTCTTTTTCCCTCTACTTCTTTTCTATGTTTTTTTTTTTTCACTGTCTTAAGTTGTGACCCGCTATTTCCGGGGTGCCTTGATAGCCGAAGCAGACTTTGTGCTGTTGAGGCTAGAGATGTTAGCAGAGTAAGCCTGATACCCCGTTTGGACTTCTCTGTTGACATCCACCCGTTGGTGCTCACATGACCTTATGCAGTTGTGAGCGCCGTAAAACCTTACTGAAACTAAAACTAAGAGAGTGGTCCCAAAAGATGAGATCCTTGGTATTAAAAACTTCCGCGCGTGGGGATTACACTTGAGATAACACTTTACTCTCTCTCTCTCTCTCTCTCTCTCTCTCTCTCTCTCTCTCTCTCTCTCTCTCTCTCT